GCACCCCAGGGAGGCACTCGGAGCCTGGAAGGTGGGCGGGCGCAGGGAGGTGGGCGGCTCAACGCAGGAGCGCCCCCTACTGGCCCGCCACAGGCACAACGGAGGCACAGGCTGACTTGCTCCAGTTCACATAGATATGATGAAGAATAGGAAACTGAACCTGAGGCCTTTAGGTCTCAGGGCCACACTTGAAAAACTGGATCATCCTGTCTTTATGTGACATTGCATTTGCATCCACATTGGTCTTAAACTCACAAACCCAGGCTGCCAGGCTAGCTGCACATTTCTGTTAAAAGAACCAGTACTGAAATAGATAACAATCTTGCTCTTTACATGGGCTGAGTTAGGTTCTGGAGCTGATGAGTGATTTAGAGAAACAGTGCTACGGTTCCTGGGATGGTATTGCAAATCTTTTGATAGGCCAGTTTGTCTATGGACTGTCATCCATGGACCACTTTCTGTTGGCCTATGGAAAGCACTATTTGGGTATGTTGCTGTCTCCTCCTTACTTCTACTTGCTAAGTTGTATTAAAAGGCAGGTAAGAGCTATTAAACACGTTCATATTTTTTTGTGTGTGTGTAGGTAATCACTACAGATTCCACCAGGATCTTCCCTGATCGCAGGCAGAGGGTCTCTGCAAGGGAGAATGGGAAGCAAGGCAGCCAAAGAGAATTTCTGAATTAAAATAGTTGAGCTACTTCTATAAACTGTCCATCACTGTGGTATATGAGCAATAGCAGCCTGGGGACAGAGTTTACTTGACCTCAGTTGTTTCCAGGTCAGTTGTATGTCATTCACAAGAGATGCTACAAATATAATCTGGAATCTGAAATATCAGGAAGGTTCTTTATGCTTCAGATATCACCACCATTAGGACAGAGCCTGCAAGCAAAACTGAGCTGAAGATTTTGTTGCTGAGACAAAACAGGCCAGATTTTTCCCCCCCCTGTCATTGTGTAGGCTCTTCAGAGCAAACCAACTCTTCAAAGCATCCACTGCAGAGCAGAAAAAAAATAATAAACAATTTTCAAAGAAATGAAAAATTTGGGTTTCTAGCAGAGACTTCTAAATCAGTATATTTTGATTTTTTTTAAATTAAAAATGTTAAAAAATAAAATTCTGGTGACAATATCTTTAAAAAAGAAAAGGTTTCTGTAAGTTTAAAAGGATTCTTGAAATTCATGTTGCAAAGAGAACCTAACAGCGATCTGCTGTGTGATTTGCTGGCTTTGGATGATTTCTTCAAGGTTTCTGGTTAAAGCTCATCATCATCTATTATCTTTCATTCTGATATCGATTTGCAACATGAGACCCTTAATGTAAAGAATGGAAAGTTAAAAAAAAATACCATTTCAAAACTGCATATTTTAACTCTTTGGGGACCCATCAAACCATATGTTATCTCTGTTTAAAAGCTACAGCTTTTACTAGCTTTCATCACTTTCTCCTTAGCTTGCAAGGAAAAGTGCAGCCATCCAGGAGAGAAATTGCCAAGGATAACTTTCCTCCAAATAACAGCAGGACAGATTGTGTTATCAGTACAAGGGGATATTTCAAGTGGATGCTCGGGATTTTATATCAGTGCTGAGAGGTGAATCTGGCACCCATTAACTGGACTTCATACACACACACACACACACACACACACTGTGCAAATGAAATGCAAAAGTGTAGCTGTGATAAACCCTGGTGGCTTTACTGACGGGATACCTTCAGCCTCAGACCTCTCTCTACCATCCTACTTCTTGTCCACTGAGAACAAACTAAGCTTTGCTGCTGGGTAACTTCTTATCCTGGTAGTCCTTACTTCCACCTGTCCCAGTCCCAGGCTTGCAGCTCCAGCAGACGAAGAGCTGCCATCTTATGAGACACACTCCTACTTGTGTACAGCTATAGGTCCCCTCTTCAGCAAAAGACACAAGGCTGGAGTCATCTGTTGCTCTGAAAATCACCTTTACTTCAGGCAACCAGTCGGGTAAATAAAATAGCAAAAAGATATATTGTACAAGCAAGATAAATCACGCAAATAAGCAAATGTAAGGGGTAAAGACAGAATGTAAGAAAATAACCAAAAAGATTAAAGGAGGATCTCACTCTGCATGCCTTATTAAAATGCAGCATCTCTCTTTGCCCAGGCAACTGTTGCCTCCGATAGCATCTGATGAAGTCAGCTGTGGCTCACAAAACCTTATGGTCTCTGATCCAGTCTAGGTGCACCTTTGCCTTGCCTTCTGCAAGACATATAGAAATACCTACATCCTTTCAGAAGACAAATCACTAATCCAATTCCCTTAGCTATCACTTGCTCCAGAAAGAGATGGACTCTCTCATTCACTTCCAGGGTGAAAAATATCAGTCTCTGATGGGATTCTTTCTGGGTTTTTGTCTCCTTTTTTTTGTGCAAAAACTATTTACATCTATCTATCTATACCCCCTACATACACCTTATATACCCATAAGGTTTTGTGAGCCACAGCTGACTTCATCAGATGCTATAGGAGGGGATAGTTGTTTTCTATCTATCTATCTATCTATCTAAAACTGTACCTCTAACAACCTGTCTTGTGACCACTGTGGTTCACTTGACACTCCAAAAACACTTGGACAGTTACATCATTCTTACATCATTCTCATTACAAAGATCCCACCTGCGTGCCCATCACTGTCAGCTTGAAACCATCACAATTATGTAAAGGACTACCTCACTCCCCTCCCCATCCCCACTCCTTCCCCCTTCCGAACTCCCCCGTTTGCCCAGTCCTTTCATTCATCATGGTCTTTGTTATCTCCTTTCACTCATCATCATGTTTGTCATCATCATCATCATCATCATCCTCTTCGTTGCTGTCTTTGGAGGGCTCGCCTTTGAAAGGCCTATGCCAGTCCCCTCTCTTCCACTTGACATGTGCCATCTCTTTCCCATCCTCTTCTACCATCTTCCTGTAGTACCAGGACATTTCACTGGGCACGTCTACGGGTTCATTAATGTGCTGCAGTTACTGTGCATTTAGTACTTGGATAACCCAGGACTAGATCAATGCTCAGTAACTTGTGCTACGGTGCAGTGGTGCCGGTGGATGAGTTTTTAGTGATGTGTACTGCAAAGTAGCCTAATACTACAGCGCAATAGCATATTAGCACCGTTTTGGCCCGGTACACTACTGCACAGTGTTATTAGGCTGCTATTAGTTCATGTCTCATGTGGACATGCCCACTCAGTCCCATTATAACATAGTCCTCGACTGGGGGGTTTGTGTGCCTGTTTATGAGCATCAGTTTATAAATCTTGATGAGCTTCCCTTCCCTTCTGCCAGTGAGGGCTTCTCTGATGTATGAATAGCTAGTGTCTGGTGAGGGCCACCCTTGATACTCGATTTAGCCATCGCCCCCTGATTATTATTATTATTACCAGAATGGAAGTTGGCACAAAGCCATGTCAAGAAGGAAAGGAAGGGAACATAAAAATACATCCTGTCAGCACACTGGGTGTGTCTACATGTGCATTTACTGCACAGTAACTACTGCGCAGTAAGTTACTCCACACTAAGTGGTTTTTAGGCTAGCGTCTACACATGCAGGTCTTAAAGAGAATTAATACTGTGTGTGGACTGATTTGGGATTAAAATGAGTCCCAAGTCAGTCCATGCACACAGTGTTACTGTGCAGTAAGGCATCTACATGTCCATTACTGCGCAGTAACTAATCAGGCACCTGCATTATGCAGGTATCATAATGCCCGATTAGTTACTGCGCAGTAATGCACATGCAGACACCTTTATGCCCAAGCTGGTATAAGTTGCCATACTTACTGCACAGTACAGGCATGCATGGGTTGATGCGCACCCATACTGGACAGTTTTTTTTAGTTACTGTGCAGTAACCTAAATTACTGTGCACTAAATGTGCATGTGTAGATGTGCCCACTGAGAGCAATGTGGGAATGATATGCTACATGACAAAGGAAAGAGACAGGCTGCGGTGGTGGAGCCGCGCACGACCTCGCAAGCGAGGATGAGGTGCCTGAATATGATGCGGAAGGAGACCAAAACCCAATGCAGAGCTGTAGGAGGAGGTGCGACGTGGGCCAAGCAGCAAGCAAGGGAGATCAGTTTAGCAACACCACAAAAATGATCAAGTCGAACATAGCTTAAGCTTAGCTATAAACAGAGATGAAGCACCACCTTAGTAAACCTAATTTGGGAAAAGATCTATGCATGGCACTTGACATATCCCAAAATCAACCCTGTTTGGGGTGAGTTTGAGATGGTTTCCTAGTGGATAAAGCTGTGCTCTGTTCACATCCCTGCCACTGGTCTCCTGGGCGTGACCTCAGGCATGTCACTTGTCATACCTGTGCCTCAACACCGCCCCCCCCCCCCGAAACGTCCAGACCTACTTATGAAACGTGCTACAGCTGACATGTCAGTATTATTGTTATATTATTGCTATTGTGATGACTTTGCATATTAGCATCCTGATATTGCAAATACCGTGCGCTGAATATTATCCCACCGCAGCCCGTGAGAATGGAGGGAAATCTTACAATTGTCTCCACAATATATAATAATTAATTTAGTGTGCCTATACAGCACTGGCAATAACTCTTAGTCTGCGAAACCTCAACCAGGAGCAGCAATGTGCGACTACCTTTCTCTTTTTCCATGTTTTTGCAGGAAACAGCCAATGCGGTGCGAATTATTCTCTTCATAAAATAAAATAACTCTTGCCTCCAGTCGGTGATCCTTTTATCGTATTTCCGAGGTAAATTGTTTTCATTAACACAAAACGACGGTGACACCCAAGTCGTGCGGGAAGCAGGAGAAACGTGGACGAAAATGAGCGCTGGGCCTTGGAGCGGGGGCCACTGACGGAGGATGGGATTGTGTGCGCGCACGTGTGTGTGTGCTCATGTGTCTGCAGGCGTGCATTTGTGTGTGTCTGCACGTGTGCGTGCGTGTACACGGCGGTGTGTCCGCAGTCTCCCATGTTGGCGTGCGTTCACGTTTACGGCACATCGGTGTGTTCGCACGTGTGCCTGCATTTGTGCACACACACGTGGGTGTGTGTTTACTGGGGTGTGTGCATGTCTGTATGGTTTCCCACGTGTGCCTGTGTGCTCGTGCATTTGTGTGTGTGTGTGTGTGGGTTTGCACGTGCATCCGTGTACCTCTGTGTGTGTGTGCACTTGTGTGACAGGCCCATCCGTGTACGTGTGTGCGCGCGTGTGTGCGTGCTTGTGTGCCAGGCCTATCCGTGTGTGTGTGTGTGTGTGCGCACTTGTGTGACAGGCCCATCCGTGTACGTGTGTGCATGTGTGTGCGCACTTGTGTGACAGGCCTATCCGTGTGTGTGTGTGCGCACTTGTGTGACAGGCCCATCTGTGTACGTATGTGTGTGTGTGTGTGCGCACTTGTGTAACAGGGTGGTGTGTGTGTGTGTGTGTGTGTGTGTGTGTGTGTGTGTGAGTGAGTGACAGGCCCCGCGGTTGCCAGGGAACCGGCCCGCGCCCTCACCCTCATCACGTGACAGCGCGTCGCTCCTCACGTGACCGGCCCGTCGGTGCGCGCGGAGATGACGTGTCCGCCGGTTCCGGGCGCGCGGCGGTGACGTAGCGGGGGGGGGGTTGACCGGCTGTGGGGATGGAGGAGAAAGAACAGCTGCGGCGTCAGATCCGTCTGCTGCAGGGTAAGGGGGGGGCGCGAGGGGACCCAGGAGTCGTGAGGGGGGTGAGGGGAACCGGGAGTCCGGGGCGTGAGGGTCCCAGGTGTCG